CAAGCGCAGTCTTTATCTGGTACACCCACTTGTTATGCAATGTTTTCTTACATGATGGAAGTTATGTCAGCTCCCAAGTCTGATTCCCTGGCAGGGAATCTGTTTCCTCCTTTTTGTCAGCTCTCACTTGCTCGAATTCTCATCTTGCAAGATTTCTTCATAGATCTGTGGTTCTCCACCATCTGTCTGTACAAGGTCTGGTTTTGCTATCTTTGGCGCTCTACCACTTTTTAGGAAATTAACATTCTTCTGTTTTCCCAAAATGCACATTTGACTCATATGTCCACGCCTAAGTAAACATGCAGTCATATATAGTGTGTCAATTTTCTTACCCCGAGCAGTACTAATGCTCCTTTGGTAACCTTCTAGGTGCTATTTGAGAACACTACCGAATGACCACCCTCATTGAGCTGCCCAACATATATGAGGTTTTTCTTCAACTTAGGAACGTGTCTGACCTTTTGCAAAGTCCACTCGCTCTTGTTAGGGAATGCAATATCAACGTCTCTCATCCCCACTACGTCCAGAGCTTTTCCATCAACCAGATATATCTTCCTAAAATTACCTGCAACATAATTTCGCATTAACTCCTGGCGAAAAGATGTATGGAAGGAAACCCTTGAATCTAGGGGTGTAAACGAGCTGAAAACGAGCGAGCTCAGGCTCAGCCCCATCATTCACCTTCTTCTTAGGATTCTTGCAGTTCATTTTTATGTGGCCAGTCTTGTCACAATTCCAGCAGATTGTCTGCCGACCAGACTTTGATTTTGATCTTCATCTGTTTGAATTCCTGTCATGTGATCTCCCATGGAATCAACCTTCATCGTAGAACTTGAACACGATGCCTCGTTAGAATCTTTCTTGCGCACCTCTTTAGCCAAAATTAAATCACAAATATCATAATATTTTGGCTTATGTTTACCTGCTGAACTACTAAATGCCATCCTCATGGCTTCCCAGCTATTTAACAATGAAGCCAACAATATCATCACACGTATCTGATCATCAAAATCAATTTCAATTGACGACAACTGATTTGTGATAGTGTTGAAATCATTTAGGTGTTGAGTAAAAAACACACCTTCCGCCATCTTCAAGTTGAATAACTTTTTCATCAGATGCACATTGTTATTCGCCGATTATTTTTCATATATACCTGATAAAGCCACCATGACATCTGTAGTAGTCATCTCCTCGATGACGTTGTGGGTAACCGATCTCGATATGGTTAATCGTATAATCCCCAGAACCTATCGATCCAATAAATTCCATTCCGCCTCGTCCATCTTTTCTGGTTGCTTTCCCAGTAACGGAAGATGAAGTTTCTTCTCATAGAGGTAGTCATATATCTGTATCCTCCAGTAAGAAAAATCTGTGTCATTGAACTTCTCGATCCCCAATGTCATTACTTCGTCCCCGCTCATCGTTCTTCCTTATATTCAAACTAAAGCTCTGATACCAATTGTTGTGAAAAATGACGACAATAAAACGAAAAATGAAACGAGTAAAATTGCATGCAGAAAAACACCAGAGCGGCACACAAATTTATGTGGTTCGACAAATTTGCCTACGTCCACGGAGCTGCAGAGGATTTTATATCTTCGAGGAATTACACCGTCGAGCACCTCGACTTTTACAAGAAAATCTTTATTTTCTTCTCTTCCTTTCTCTCTATCTCTCTCTTCATTTCTTTCTCTTAGCTCTCAAGAGGACTTGGCTTAACCTTGCTTGACTTTGCTTCTCCTTTAAGCCAAAAGAGGCTATTTATAGAAACCATGAGAGCGATGAGTGAGAGTTAGGTGAGCGATAGGTGGGATGTGGTAGGTGAGTGATATGTGGGAAAGTAGGCGAGCGGTAGGTGAGATTCTTAATTAGGAAGCTAATTAAATTTTGGTGGACCAGGTCTCCACAGGTCTCCACATTACACATTACCCAACAAGGGACATCCTGTAGAATGCTATGCTACTGCGGACTAGAGACTTCCTTTCTGAGGTCACGACAGGCCCACAGCTATGGTCGGTACTTTTACAGATGCCCCCGGAGACTCGCAGAATAGTGTGACTTCTTCCGTTGAGCTGAAGGTCGGGTGGATTCCACTGCTGAAAGTGATCGCGAATTGATAGCATTATTGCATGACAGTTTAAGAGGAGAGATTCATCGCATTCACGTTAAAGACAATATCATTATAAGTTTACTTGTAATTTTATTAGTTTTTTTTTCATTGCAATTTTGATACTCACTGATAAGTGAGTGGTGTATTTGTACTATTGTTATGTTTTAAAATGAATTTGTACTTCTTAATTATCAAGTATATTGTTGTTATAGTTTTGTTTTAAACAGCTTTACTAAACAGGGGCAGAATTGTTATTTTTTCAGAAACAGCTGCCCGACAGCTGTTTTCACACAGTTGCACCAAACAGACAGACAACTTCCCGAAGCTGCTTCCGCGCAGCTGCTTCCTGGGGCAGCGCAACTGTAACTAAAAAGCTGAGAAGCTGCAGCTGCGCCAAACAGAGCCTAAGTATAAAGGTTTTTTGGTGTGAGATGTGTAACATTGTATGTTTTGAGCGCTGTGTATGTAAAAATCTCAAAATAAAAATGAATTTGAAATTTAGGAGATTCACTTGCACTATCTTTACTTAACATTTATAAGGAGAGTATTAAATATTATCATAATTTTAGGGGTTATTTAGGATTAATTTTATTTTATTATTCAACAATTATGTATTTTTTATATTTATATATATATATATATATTTTAAAAACAAATAAACATGTTTTTTAAAGCACTAAAAATAATTTTAGGTATTTTAAATCTTTGAAAAAACAACATATATTAATTAAATCAGTCAAACATATTTCATTTTAAACTAGAAACAAAACAAAATAAGATAAAAATAAAAGTGATTCAAATTAACCTCTTAGTTGATTCAACTATGGTAATATGAAAAATGACTCAACATAAAACTCATGAATTGGAATTCCTGTAGAGATGGCATAGAGATAGATTCTCTTGACTATTCTCACTCTTTCATTTTCTCACTCTCTTCCTCCCTCGTTTTCTTTAACAATGAAAAGTTTCTGCATTTGTTTAAACTCATTATTGTGTGAATTATAAATATTTTTTAAAGCCAGACAATAGTTTCTTATAGCCACCATACTCTGGCCTCGCTGATTTAAGCTTTTGCTTTTGCAATAGTTTGTTGAAAACCTATACCCTAAATAAAATATATTTAAACTTTGTGTTAATATTTTGGATAAATTGTTTTCTCTGTGTTTTTTTTGAAAAAAAAATATATATAGCTAAATAAGTAGCTATACATTTTTTCGTATAAAAGACTAAAATACTTATTTTTAAATTAAATCCTAAATATCTCATCTAATACTAACTTTACCAGAACTTGATTAAGCATCAACTTCAAGTTGATGAAGCACCAACTTGATTGTACCGAACATCTTATTCATACTCATCATGTGTAGTTCAATACCAATAATTATGATGAAATTCTTTATGGTAAAGATCCAATTTGATTTCATCAAACATTACATATGCTTAATTTTCGTGCTTCACACAATGTTATAAAAACTTACATTCTGAAAGATAAATAGGCAGTTGTGATGTTATTTGCACAAATTCTTCTACAACATTCAAGAGCTCATGAGTGAATTTTTTTATTCTTGAATCTATTGTACATCCATGTTCTCAAATATCAAATATACATTAGCGGTTAAGATATATGTAAATTTAAATATTAATACATTTAAATCATCACTTGTACATAAGACAATTCTATGCATAATTATGTATGCAAACAACTTAAATTGACATCTATACATAACTCATCCGAAATAATTGTGTGATTGTTTTGATGCATGTACATACAAATAAACATATACATAAACACAAATTTGATATAGTTGGGCAGAATGTTTTGATAAGACAAATTCACTTACAACAAATTTGTTTTGATTTGTGCCTAAATAAGTTAAAATCGACCACTTAAAATGCAATAAAATATTTTATGACATAAATTGATGGATTAAATAGTTTCCAATTATTAGGTACTTAAAATCTAAATGGGCGCTATGAAGAGAGAAATCTAACGAGCCCAAAAAAAGGATTGATCCATAATTAAGATAATTAATGTAGACGGTTTGATGAAATATTTATGGATTGATAAAAATTATCAACTATAAATAGATCACATTCTTTACATAAAAATGATATGAAAAAGGTGAGAGCCGCTTATTGCACCATCTGATTATCATCACTCAATATTCATAATTGTCTACAAAAAGGTTACCATTAAATGATCAATGATTATTCTTCCCTCTATATTGTTTCTTCAATATTCTATATCGTAGCTACATATAACATTAATATTATGTATTTTATGATTTTTATTATTTTATATTCTTCAGTTTAGAAAAATAAAGTATCTCTATAATCTTAAATGTGAGATCATTTTAACCAAGTCATGCTATATGATTATTTTTCCTCAAGTTTTGCATCAAAATTTTTTTGTTGTTTTTTTTATTACTTTTACATGTACATGAATCATTGCATAATGTTAAGATCGAAAATTTATAACCATCACAAAGTTTCAACATGATAAAGAAAAGTAAAAATTTGTAGTAAAAAAATTTTAAAAAAAAATTTCTTTCGTAAAGTGTGGGCCCGTTTGGGGCAGTTTATTTGGTGCTTTGGCGTTTTGAAAACAAACCTGACTTGTTTGGGTAAAATACGTTTTGACAGCTAATGCGTTTTCTAAACGCTGAAAACAACAAGTGTGATCGCAGCTTTCTCAGGTCACTTTTTTTAAAAAATAAAATATTGTAATAGCTACTGCACCTAACCAATCAACAGATTATTAAATTAGCTGCAACTACACAAAACAAACAGAATGCTTGAACATAAAATTTAAGGCATTTGATTTTATTTTCAATTAATTTGTCCAGGAATTAAAAGATCATGACCTGTAAAGCAAAATAATCGGAAACCAGTGCACTAACTAGGAGCTTGGCTTCGTTTGGTCCAGCACGAGTAGGTCAGGAAATCCACCTTGCGTGATGGGCATTGACCGTCCAGCACCGCCGTCTCTCATCCGTGGTGTCGTACTCTATTTGAACACAAGAAGCACACCCTGCACCCTCCCTAATCGCTCTCTCTCTCCCAATCTTCGAGTTTCCTGTACGCGCGCAATAAAACTCAGATCTCGCCATTAAGGAACCGCTGAATCTTTTCACGATTTTAATTTGAAGGTTAGAACCGGTGATTCCTGTCTTCCCGTTCTCCCTCATCGTGATCGAAAAAAAGAACAGAACCATGGCTGGTTTTCCAGGTGCATCGGAAATCCCTTGGCTTTCGTTCCTTTTGATTTTTGAGGCATGCGTATTGTCAGTAGATTATGTGTTCTTTTACAGCGGCTTGCAGTGAATTGAAAACCGAAATATTCGCTAGATTAGCGACCACGTGGTTCTTTAGGGTGGAACTGAATTTGGGCGAAGGCATTGCGGGAATCAATGGTCAACATTCGCTTCCTTCTCCAGAGGTATGCGCTCGAGACGTTGGATTTCCTATATGCATGCATATAATGTTTCCTCTTTTTCTCTCCTGAATCTCGTCCAATTTGTTTTGTTTCAAGGAAGACGAATGATTCCAGAAGTCGTCTTCTTTGTCCTTTTATTTATAAGAATTGAACAATAACTCGAGAAGCTTTTTGTGTGACATGCCAATATACCTTGTGGAGGAATGGGAAGAAGGTGACGAGCTGAATATAACATTTCTTTTGGATCCAATTTCAGGCAATGAAACATCTTATGGTATTTTGTGCACGGTACTGGCCGCAAATATGCTCATTTTATTTTGAAATGCCGAAAGCTACGTACCACCCTTGATACAGAGGGAGCGAAGGTTTTGCATTCATAAATTAGCAAAAGAGAAAACGACATCAAGTTTTGTCCAAATGATTGGAGGCCCATGAAATAAGTATGTATGATATTTAATTTATATTGATATTAGGTTCCACCAGACCACCACATTGTTAATTTGGAATTGGCTCGTGGTCGATGCTAGGTAGGAGTGGTTACTGTAGAAGTACGCATTTATTGGAGGAAATGTTATTGAACGTGGGGATCTTCTTTATTTGGCTGGGTGTTGGTTCTTTCATTCTACATTTAGATTTTCTTCCTTATTAGGTTCTTAAAGTGAATTAAAAAAAAAAATCAAATTATGGTGTCATATAAGCATGATTCGGGGCTTAACACAATTCACAGAGAATGGAAAGCCAGAAATTAAATGATTTGATCTTTTTGAAAATTTTATTCAAGACTTGCTTTTTTCTTACCTATATAGGTTGTCTAGCAATGAACATATAACAATAATGCAAAATTTTGGCATCATCAATGTTGTACGAAACAATCTCAATAAATATATAGTCATATGATAATAGATGTTAGTTTAGAAGAAACAAACTCTCTTGGTAAAACCTACTTCCCAAGTAATAAATGGGAAGACATAAGAAATAGATATGATAAATGAAGAGATAGCATTAACAATAGTTACAAAATTATAATATTTATAAATAATGAATCAAAGATAGAAGTATCATATATGAAAATAATTCAATGGCACTTACCATGCAACATAGTTCATAGAAATTCATATACAAAATGAAAAATATTGCATTAAAATGCCGAAACATTCACTCGAATGAACATTATTTTTATACATCCAAATATGACTCAGTAGTCGTTATCATTTTAATTATAAATATATGTATATTTATCTAAGGTTTTCTTAAACCCATGAAATCTAATAATTCCAAATAGAGCTGTCGCTTATGGACTTGTCGGTCAGCTATTCAAATGTAAAGTGTTCTACCAATGATATAATCATGCATACAAGCACATATTATGATAAACTGTAATGAATTTAAAATTCATTATATTTTTATAAACATAGTTTATGAGTTGTATGGGTAAGATTTATATCTTATCAACCAATGAAATGGATATAAATTTGATAGAAATTTATGCAGCAATTATCATGGAGTTAACTAAAATTTACATTATATTAATACAAGCTTAAGAATCTTTATGGACGATGAAAATATATTTTAAATTAAACATATGAAGCATATTACAAATGTCAAGAAAAATGCCTCTCACAAGGAATGGTGTGTTTATCTTTAATCTATTATGAAGATTCACCTTCCTAACAAAGATCTCATGCAATCTCAATGTTCAACATATTGATTGTAATGTTGATTTTTTTTACACTCCAACATACATTACTTCATAAATCGTAAATTTAATAGAATTAAGATTAATTGCATATTCATAATATTAATTAGCTAATATAATTTTTTTGTTCATTTTTTGAAAATCATTGATTCTAGGAATTTCCTATTTTATACTTTTTAATTAATCCCAAATGTCAATGATTTACTTAATGCTTTCTACATTGAATGTCATTAACCATGGCTTTATGAGATCATTAATACCATTTTGAGATTGAATTCTTATCATTAATACCCTTTTGAGATTCAATTCTTATGAAACCCTTTCATAATTTAATTATATGACATCTATACTAGTTTGTTATAATATTAAAAAAAATCATTATGATTTATATTCTATGCTAAGTTTCAACATTCATTTTCTTATAATCCAAAATATTACTTGCACATTATCATCAATATAACAATTAGAGAAAATAACTCAAACTCAAACACCAAACCCCGATGATCATATCTGTAAACATAAATAAAAAAACTTAGGCTAGATTTTTGTTCTAAGATGACAATGAGAATCCAAATCCCATATTCATACATTTTAATATTTAAGGAACAACCTTAAGAAATTTTAGGATTAATCCATATAGTTTTTTTCTTTCACAACATAATTTAATTTTAACTAAATGATAACCCATGTATTGCTATGAAGAAAAGATTAAAGTTTTATCTTATGGTAGCAAAGAAGAGGGGGAAAAAAAAACAATACATGTGAAACCATAGCGTTGTTTTTCTCCTTACACTCAATTTTGTTCTCATTCTTCTATGTAATTCATCGGACTACTACGTCGTCCTTTTGCCTAAACTTTTCAAAGTCGTAGCCAAAGCTGTTGGCCATCAGGCTATGATCTCCTCATCTCCTCTCTCTTGCCTGCATGTTACATGCCTTTAGGGCCGATATTGATAATTGCCTTGCTCTCACTTGTCATTCACACTCTCATCACTTTCTTTGCATTATAAGGTCCAGATTCAGGTTATAATAGATTTTTCCACTTACTTTAATAAGGTTGTCGGGCATTGGGTCGGCAGGATTGGTTTAGTCAAATGGACATAAAGAAGAGTTATTACACAACTTTTGTGTCTTATAGATCTCATATTGTTGCTTTCATATTCTTGCATACTTTTGAAACAAGATAATAATCTTTGATCTTCTTCCTCAACCATGTAATAAAAAATTATTTTACATGTAATTGGATGTTCTAAGGGCCTATTTGGGACCATTTTTATTTTTTATTGTTATTCTTATTTTTGCTTATGTTTTTAAAAAATATTTGTTTTGTTGATTTTCTTAGATATTTTAATTTTAAAAGCAAATTAACTTTTTTTTGAAATAATTTGAAATAGTTTTTAGATGTGATACATTTTCAACAAATCTCCATCATCCAACACGAATCTCGAGGCATGACATAAACCTTGAGGTGGCCTTTTGCGCAAGAAATATTCAAACCTAGATAAAAACGCATCTAGAACTCTGATTTCAATAAACAATCAAATTGATCGGCTCGACAAGAAGAATCAAATGTTACCAAAATTAATTCAATCCTAGTCAAATCAAGCTTATATTAAGTCATTAAACCACTCTTAGAAGTTTTCTAGATATATTTAGAAGGTTAAACGAATCTAGCAACCATATAATCGAATCTAACGTCTCGACAAGACGAATCTAATAGACCCAAGTTTGCTCAATTCCGACATCGTCCAAGCACTCACATGTCCATCAAATGCCGGCTGATCGAAGGAAGCTTTTCGGACTGTCCGATCAAAGTGGTTCATATTTTTGCATTCATTGTACCCAGAATATTATAAATAGAGCCACACTCTCTACTGAGAGGGGGCTGGAGGATTCAGAGAGAACTTAAAGCTTTGAAAAAGAGCTGAAGTCCAACACGACTCCTGTCATCGTCGATTGTTGCCGGCCGTCGTCGACCTCCATTGACCTCCACCGATTTCTGACTGCCGCCGACCCCCGCCCACCTGACTGCCGCCGACCTCCGCCAACCGCCGCTGATCACCGTCGACCACTACTGACCATTGTCGACAACGTTTGATCGTTGTCGACCGCTTACCACCTTCGATTATCACCAATCACCGTTGACCACCATAGACCAAAATCTGTCAGTCGACGTTGTAACTTGAAAAACCTAGTAACTATTTTCCGTCTGTGGGACAAGGGGCCTCTTTAACCATCAACTTATAGTGAATTTTTACATCTGGGTCAGACCTCGTGGTTTTTTTCTCTTTACGGGTTTTTCACGTAAAAACTTCTGCTATCAGTACTAGCTGTTTTCTTTTACCTGTGAGTGTGCTGAATTCCCGTGCAACGCTAAGACGATAATCTATTACTCAACAACCGCGAATTTTCTAGCATGCATCAAGTTACTTTAAGATGCCAAACATATTTTATTTCCAATCAAAATATAAATAGAAAAGTGATCTTAAACAATCATTTAGAATTTTTAATATCATCATCATTATCCATTTCTCAATTTTTATGTTTAGCTTTATGCTATTTATTCTCTATTATTCAATTTTGTTTTCTTGTATAAGTTGTTCAATTTATTATGGTAAAATCTTTTTAAACCTCTTTCTGTCCATAAAACTTTTGGTTTTTTCTTTTTTTTCCTTGCACATTGCTATTTTCTATCCTTTATGTTGGTGCAACTTCTAATATCTAGACCATGCCTATTTTCTCCGCTTTATCTTTAATAGTCACCACTCATAGTGTTTCTTTAGGGTTTTTTTTTAAGGAAGTTTTACCATACATCATCAAAAAATTTTATTTTTTTTGGCATTCAACTTGGGTAGTAGTGCCTTTTTTATCGTGCACTACTTAAATTCTTATGCCAGTTGGTTATCTGATTTTATTACCAATTTACCCTTTTATTTTAACCATCTAGTCTAAATTCTAGATTTTGTCATACTTAGCTGATTCATTTGTTATGCTATAATACATACTAGATCCAAGATATTTTAATTGATGATACTTAGGCATCACTTGATTTTCTAGCAATTTTATTTGATGATTATCAATTGATTCCCACTAAAATTCTAAAAAAACATTACACATTTATTTTTTGCTTAACTGACTCTATGCTTCAGAGCAATATTTCTTCATTTATTCAGCTTTTTTAAACTATTGATATGTTTTATTAGCATCTCCATAATTGAAAGAAAAGATACACCCTTAGCATTGCTCTTTGTTATAAGCCTATTGTGATTGGGAACTAATTGATCGCTCCAATACTATTTCTAATGCCATTCGTTTTTCGAAGATAATTTATCGACATATTGAGTTTTTATATTTATATTATTTTGTTGAAAGTCAATCATGGGATTATACAGAGCTCACACAAACTTGAGGCCGACCATCATACCTAGGGCATGCAAAGCAAAGTTATAGTTGCCACACATGTTTAACTTTTGTCCAAACATTCTTAGTTCCTTTATCTAAATGTCATTTCCTAGCATCCTAACTCAAACACTTGAATTTTTGTTAAGTATCTTCAGAACAATACAAAATGCATATCAATCACTGATCTTTGTTGTAAGTCTATTATAATATGGAGCTATTTAATTCCTCCAACGCTACTAAAGCTGCTTGATGTTGCTAGAAGTTCCTTTCTCAAACACTATTTATTTGCAAATATAATTCATTATTTTATTATGTGCATATTGTATTACTGAACTTCATTCTAGAATTAATACATAACTTACACAACCTTGACGCCAACTACCATACCTTGGAGCACGCACAAGCATAATTTCTGGTTGCCACGTATGTTTTACTTTTCAGAAGCAGGTTTGTTGCCCAAACATTTGTAGTGCTATAAAGAGAATGTCCTTATTTCTCTCCATCTTGACTGGAGTTGTTGCTTGTAGAACTATTTAAAAGGTTGAGTTAGACCCACAAATAAAACACAAATACATTTATGAAAGAAATACATTTCTAGCTCTTTATTAAACTTGAGGCATTTTGCATAAAATCTGATGGTCCTGATTTTTTTATGATTTTGAATGTATTTAATTTAATTTAAAACAGATTAGAAGCCACTATTTTTTAGTTTTTTATTTTTGTTGGTAGATTTTCTGAAGTTAAATTTAATCTCGCGGTTAGAAATTCCTTACACCTAATTATGAAGTATTTGTTTTTAACCATGATTCATCCTTGTTTAAATTCTCTTTATTTTCTTTCAGATTTCTTGCAAGTAATTCTTTCTTTTTATTACTTTTTAGAAGTAATTGCCAATTATGTTGTATGGTATCAGGCATATTATTCTTTCGTGAGCTCCTAGTTTGAGAATATCCTCCCTTACTCCTGCAATGTTGCTCTTTTCATCCATTACCCTACAATGTTCCTCATTTTCCTGGCCTTCAAATCTTCATCCATTTTCTCCTAACAATCTTAGATGACTCTTCTGGTGTTTTTTAATCTGCTAGATTTTCATTTTTTTTTTTCGCGGTCTAGTTGTTTTATCTTATTGGAGCTTTAAGCATTGAAGAGTGCCTCCATAGCCAGTTAACCTCTTCCTTAAAAGAAATTATGTTGAGTCCAATTTTTTTTTTACCTGCCTATCATTGCAGTGGATTTTTTTTTTTGGGTTCACTGTTTCGATGCATATTCAATCATTTATTATAACTTATATTTGTAGAATTCTCATAGTTTTTATTTATTTGGGGATTTTATTATCTTCTCTTTGTAAGCCAAGATTTTTTGAACATCTTTGCTACTTAAAAAATTCATTATGTAGTATTTTACTGTGGACCATATGGATCTCTATATTCTTGCTGTCAGTTGTCTTCACAGATAAGCTATAAGATTGTCTTTTTCCGTTTTGTGATAATCCATGCTTATATTATGATTATGAATTTCCTTATGTAGCTTGGGTCGCACACATAGTTCTTTTCGGCTGGGATTGGATTATGCTACCAATATAAGGTATTCATTTTAATCTTCTTGACTTATTTGTATATCCTTACATTAAACATGCGCATTCTTGTTTGAACTAGATTTTGGATGAATTTGTCTTTGAAGCATCTTATTAGCTATAACTCTTTTAAATGTTTTTGAAGTCCTTTATTTAATTAATGATAACACTGCTGTTCTCAATATGAATGCATTTTTTCTATTCCTAATGGTTCTACTCATTTTAGTTGCTATGCTACTATTCTGTGGAAAATTTCTTGTGGATCAAATAACCATTAGAATTGAAAATGATTTCCGCTCTACCTTAAAGACAACAAATTGAATTAGTATATCGAGCAAAAATTATTGACTGGTCAAATTTATCTGACATTTGTGTACTGTTCTTAAGAAATTTTCCTGTGTTGTTTGCAAGGCATAAAGCTATGATGAGACATATGAAGATGCCAAGTTTTAATCTTACTTGCCGCTGCTCTCTCTACTCATTCTGGCATCTATTTGGAACCTACATTAAATCACCACAATATTTTAAACTACTTTTTCCATGTGGATAGTTCTATTTATCAGAGTAACATCCTTGAAGAATTCCTACAAACCTCGAAATTTGAACACACCGCGACACGCCATCCATCCCAAAATTTTAAATTATGTATATGCTTATAATGCTTTATTCTGGCAAGCTCATTCTTTGTGCTGATTTGATTTATCATCAAAATTTGACATTATTATGCCCGAGTTTTCTCACTTTTGGCCAAGGGACCTCTCATTTAGCTAACTAATGAAGGGTTTGTTTGGGGTGGTTGTGCCAAGGAAGGCACCGTTGGAAAACTATATGTCTGTTTGTTTTGTACAACGGTGCAACAACTGTTTATGAAAAAAAAAAATTTACCCCTATATTACCGTGCTATTTATAAGATAACCAGTTCATGTTGAATAACTGATACATGAAAAAGAAATTACATTCAAGATCTTTAGAAACTCATAAGTTCAAATATTGCATTAAGAACTGATATCTCGCTTAATATTGAGTAACCTGACAATCAAAATCAAAAATAAAAAAATAAATTAAAATAATAATTAACTTTATCATAATATTGAATTTGAAATGTAATCGATCAATTTTACGCGATAACTTCTTCTCTAAAGACACTCTCCATGCCTAATCACTATTTAAGGTGAAGCCGTCTAATTGATTCTCTCACTTGAAGAAGTCACAGTCTTCTGTTGTTCTATTCTTTGGACACCCGCACAAATATCAAAAAAAAAAAAAAATCTAAAATCTTAAAAAATTAAACAAACCAATTAAAAAAACAAAAAAAAGGTTAAAAGTTAATACAAAACAGTAAAAAATGAAAGTGATATGAAGTATTTATAAGAAAATACAACAGCAACAAAACCTTTGTCCCACTAAGTGGGGTTGGCTACATGAATCTTTTTTCTCCATTGCGTCTTATTTAGTGTCATATTTTTATTTAATTCTATTAAATGAAGATAATTTTTTAAACAATATGCCCAAGTCTTCCTAGGTCTACCTTTCCCTTTCTTAACATAAGTCGAACTTAAAACATCTACTCTCCTAATCGGATCATCCAATGATTGATGTTTAATGTGACCAAACCATCTAAGATGACTATCTCTAATTTTGTCATTTAATGGAGCTACACCAGCCCTATCACGAATATATTCATTTCGCATTTGGTCTCCAAGTGTAAAGCCACTCATCTACCTAATTATTCTCATCTCGGTAACACTCAACTAAGTTTTATGCTTCTCTTTTAAAGGCCAACATTCAGCGCCACAGAGCATTGCAGGCGTCACCACCATCTTATAAAATTTTCCTTTCAGTCTAAGGGGTACTTTTTTATCACACAATAGGCCCGAAGCATTCCTCCACTTCAACTAAGCAACCTGAATTCTACTAATAGCATGCCCATCTATATTACCATCACTTTGAACAATAGACCCGAGATATCTAAAGCGTTCACACCTTTTAATAATTTGATCACCCATAGTTGCATTTTTGTCACTAGAGCTACTACTACTAAAATTACATTCCATGTATTCAGTTTTAGATATACTCAAATAAAGGCCTTTAGACTGCAATGTAGACCTCCATAATTCAAGTTTTTTCTGAGCCTTCTCTCTCGTATTATCCACGAGAAGGATATCATCAGCAAAAAACATACACCAAATTACATCCTTCTATAAATGTCCAGTAAGACCATCTATAACTAAAGCAAAAGGATATGGGCTTAAACCCGGTCTCTGATGTAATCCAACAGAAATAGGAAAATATTTGGTCAATCCTCCTTCTGTTTGAACACAAGTAACAACTCTAGTATACATATCTTTAATGACTTGAATATAAGTCATATTAACAGCTTCTCATTAACTCTCCAAAGGATATCTCTTGGAACCTTATCTTAAGCTTTTTCTAAATCAATAAAAATCATATTTAGATTCTCCTTATTATCTCCGAACTTCTCCATCAAACCTCTCAACAAATGTATAGCTTCCATGGTAGACCTGCCCGACATAAATCTAAATTGATTATGAGAAATCTTTGTAATGCGTCCTATATTCAATTATCCTCTCCCATTATTTAAAAGATGACATATCAACTTAATTCCTCTATAATTTGCACACCTTGTGCATTCCCTTTGTTCTTAAAAATTGGTATTTACAAGATAATAAAAATTAAAACTACGTAAAATGAAAATAAAATCCATAAAAAAGGAACTTAAAAAAATGTTAAATGAAATTGTGAGAAAAGAACTTGGAAGCAAATAAAATGAAATTAAATAAAAAAATTAGTTAAAATATAAAATAGCCAGAAAAAAAATCTAAATACTTAAAACCAAGTTCTCCAAACTATTCTAAACTCTACAACTAAAAACTTGAATGAATCGGGCTTCTCGAATGTGTTATTAAGCAATGTTTCATCCTAATAAATTGTATTCTGATGAATAAAAATCAAATGTATGATAACTTCATTGCATTCTTGTGTTGAATAAACGTATTTTTACATTACTCTTCAGAATTATCGGCCACAACATAATATGGATTGATAGTGGTAGAATCAAAATCATATAAAATTTATTGTTTAGTAGTTTATACATGCGAATTGTTTCACAGACTGTTGTCATCATCATAATGTAGGAGGTCCTTTTGGGCAGCCTTTTCACCACTTTATTTACTTGCAACTTTCTTGTTTTTTTCAAAAATTTCTTTACTAAGAAGTAACAATTTACAACTATATCTGCTGTAGTGTTTTAGTTGCAAAAAAGTTGCGGTCCAATTTTTTTCTGTAGGAAACATCTATGATGCTTACAACTGCTTTGAAAGCTTTATTTTTTCCATAACATATAAACAATTGTAGCCTCACTTGATAGACCTAAAAAATTATTTAAAACTTCTTTGCAATTATTTTGAGTATAAAAATTCCACATATAATCAATCATCAAAAAAATAAAATTTAAATATAATTTAAAAGGGTCATTGCAGCTGGCCAAAAGTTAGAAAAGAAAATGGTGACATTAGGTCTATGTAATAGGACAAATGCTGACCGTGCCAGTATGGTATATGACTTTTACGTAAAATACCATCACTTCTTATACCTTGAATTTTTCTTTTTGCCAAGGTTCAATATGAAAGAAACACTAGAACAACTGACACAACTAATACTTACCGGTTATGGTGTAACCAACAAGAAGATTAATGTAATTTCTGGTACAAGTAATGTAGTTTAAATTTGTCAGCCTTTTTTGTTTATGACTAATGAATGGCATATTGAGACATGAAATAATAAGTACTGTTACTGAATGTGCTAACCTAGATTTTAAAAGTAAAGAGATCTAATTAAAATTGCATTTTTAGGCGTTCACCACTCCCGTCAATGAATGGCATGTCCAAGGTTCCTTTGTTCTATAAGGTTAGTCTAAAATGTGGTTTCCTTTTCTCGACATACACTTTGCTTTTTTACTAATACGATTCTCATGCAGCCAATTCTTGGAGCTCGGGGTATTTCCTCTACAGGTTCATTATACTTATTCATGCCTTCATTTTTTATTCATAAGCTGTAACTTCGTAAAATGTGCTGATATTATACTCCTTCATTTGTTTTTAATATGATGTGTAAATGAAACTCTCATTGTTTTGCACCCTTTGAGACAACTTTATTGAGAATTTAGTTTTGACCTTGATAGCAGTGGAGCCATATGAAGGCATGCTCAAAAGTTTAAGCGTCCAAACAGATTGGATATAATAATGCCACATATCTATTGGATTAGTGCTAAAAGCAATGCAATAGATGGGAGTGAGTAGAAGATTTGCTGTGCAAGGGAGATTGACATATTTTTTATTCTAACCCAGAGACTAAATGATTCTGGGGATAAGAACAATTTAGGCACTTTTTAGATATTGTATTGTTAGTAGTTTTATAATGAAAATAATGAAAACAACTTGAATGCTAAAATTGATCTTTCTTAAAATGAGTGTTATATTCTTTATTGCAGCCATTCACATCTAAGGGATAAACAATCTTCTATTCTTTGTATTTTCTACTAAGTCTCTAGTGCTTATTTTTTCTATGCATAATTACCAGCTCCTGAACGACTCACTTGCATTATTTGCAAAAACTAATAATTTTTTTTCCCATGAAACTTCTCAAACTGAGGGATCTATACGACTATAATATGCCAAATTTTATCAGGATTAGTATCTGAAGCAATGAGTAATATACTCGGTATATTTGGTATGCTTTATCCTTCATTTGTTAACAAATGCAGGGCCTTTGTTGCATATTGTGGTGCAGATGCCTGCATTATCCCCCACAATGGTGAGGACATTTTGATAGAATGGATTGCTTACTGGAAATATTGTACGTATGTTCCTGCTATAAAAGTGGTTATTGAACTTGATGTTGATGTCACCAGGATCAAGGAAATATAGCGAAATGGATGAAAAAAGAAGGGGATAAGGTAAGACAAATTAGTTTGATGTTCTGCAAACTTATTTGACATTGCTACATTGAGAGGGTCTTTCTTTTCATTCCATAAATCAATGTCTCTATTAACCAACTCCATTTTCTCTTGCCATATTTGAACTGACAGATTGATGTTGGTGATGTTATCTGTGAAATAGAAACTGACAAAGCAACTCTTGAATTTGAAAGCCTTGAGGAGGGGTAATCTGCTATTTGGCATTTAAGGAGCTTTGCATAGTTTGTACATATAATATTTTAATTAATTAATTTTGTCTAATTTTGTTTTTAATAATTCTATTTGGCTTGCAATTTGATTTTTCTTAAGCTTCTGCAATTATGTTTTCCCCATATTTTATGTCCTTTGAAATAAGTTTCTTATGACGCATGAAAATTGTAGGGTGGCTAATTGGCAAATTTGAAAGCAGCTTGTTAAAAGCCTTTTTCCCTTTAAACATAGCTAAATATCTGAAGGATGGTTTAGGGTCCCTTAAGCTTGGCTGCAGTTAAGCTTCCACAACCTTTTTATTAGTTAACAATTATTATATTTTTATTTATAGCTTTTTATGCTGAAATGTGATGCCTTTTTGAGAGATATTTTGGAGCAATGAGTAGCATAATTCCTGATGCAATCAGAAAAAATTGCTTCCTGCTTGGTCCCACTTGTGGTAGGTTTAGATATTATGCCTTCATCATTGAGCTATTCTCTTCATTGAGGGGGCTCCATACACTTGGCTTTTTTTTTTGCAAGGTAGTTAATCATCTCATTGTCCTGGAGTCTACTTCAGGTCAAAATAAGTATTGCTACTGTATCCTAAGTCAATGTATTTCCTTCCATTATCACTTCATCCACTTGATCTGAGAAGCCTTTTTGAAAGATATTTTGCAGTAATGAGCACATTTTTTTTCATCCCGGTTTCCATTAATCCTTGGGACAGGATAGTGTCGTCTTATGTGGCTTTGGATGTGGGAATGGTTTATGTAATTTGGTGGCTCTGGAGTAAGTTCAAAGTTGGAGGGCTTAATGCGTAGTGGAGTTTTAGGTGGAAGTGACATATTTAAGCTTTTTGGAGAGCACTGTTTCATGGCAAGATATTTGAGTTATTGTGCCTGTATTGTCATCCCTCACATGTGGGATTTTAACCTTTCATGGAAACTGACTTAAAAGAGGAAGGGAGATATAGCATACACTCTCACATTGGATTTCTTTGCTTGGATGACTAGGGAATAGTTGGCTAAGCGGAGAGGAAGCGAAATAGAAAGTTTAGATTGTTCAGTTTTCTTAAAAACATCAGCTTAAAATCTACTTTGATAAATTTTCAAGTTCCTTGAGGCTTTTACTTTAAGAAGTTGTTATATTAAATGACTATGGTTCCAATGGTTAACATAAAACAAGAATAAATAATAAAGCTTAAAATGATGACAAAAAATGATGGCAACAAAGAGTTGTCATTCAGCATGAATGAGTAATATCCGATCCATTCTTAATTTTAGCTCTTGGTGTAGGCCCTGTGAGAATAGGTCTTGCCTCCCGTGCAGTTTCTTTTATGCAGCCTTTTGTGTCCCCTCAAGCCTAATTATCTATCCTTCTGTTTAGCCAAGGAGATATAAATGGTGTTACTAATCCAATTGATATGGTTATTCTAATTTAGCTGATCGAATATATTGGAAGGCCTCCGGTTCTTGATTCTTTTTTAGTAGTTTGCTCTTGCATTAAATACTACCCACACCCCCAACACTATTTCATGTGAGGCTTAATTCTTGTGTTCTCCTTGATGAATATTGATATCGAAGCCTTTGTTTTGGTACTTTCTATCGTCTAGCAAAGGTTCAAAAGTTTTAAATATTCATCATTAATAACCAAGGATGCCTATAGATAAGGATGTTCTCCGTGAAATGAAGTGTTCCCAATTTGAAAAATCTTTAAAGGTCCATAATGAACTCTCTTTATCCTTTCACTTCTCTCTTTAGCCTTTCCTTAAATATTTATTACAGAGTTTTTTTTTTAATTTAAATTTTCTCTGATCTTTTTTTTTTTTATCATGTTGAGCTTTTTGTTCATACTAGTAATGTCATAGGCGTTCATACAGTTATTTGTGGACTTGTTCACGTGATTGCCAGGGGACAGAGTGCCTTAAGTATCTCAACAATTTTTCTTTTTTATTATAAACGTCAATGTCAATTCTAAAATTCAAGATCAAATAGATTATGAAGTGGGAACCCTGACAGATCTTTAATAGTGATTTTATTGTAGATCTATGAAGTCTCTTTGTTAGAACTATATGTATGGAAGAATGTCATTTTACTCGGTAAACTGTTTGACATTATACCCAAAACATTCACAATTGCTCTGTTGCTTACTTAAAATTGACCATCAAATTAATGACGAAAGGCAATACCTTTTTTGCCCATGTTATCCATCAAAGCTTAAAATTCTTCCAAAATTTGCTCATGATTCTGCTCTTTCTAATGAAATGATAGAAGTAAGCGTTGATGCTTTTCCAGATACATTGTAACAAGAGCTCACTGAATCCCTTCCTGTCACAGGCTTTTGCATGGAATTATACATTTGTCGAACACGTGAACAGTCAAAAACAATTTATGACCATTCGTGGTCTTTGATAAATCTCAAAATTATCAGTGAACTCTACATGGTTTGGCAGTGAAGGAAGAGGTGTGTAAAGACCCAGGTTTATTTTTTAAGTTTGTTGAAAGGATTGCAAAACATGCAACTATTAACAACACAGTTTATCTGTTGAAGCAACTTAGTCCAATACACTTTTTTTTAGCTGATCTCAACATTGAAATGTCCAGCCACCTTGACCGTTTAAGCCTTTTGGATTCAAATTGAGCTGCTGCTTATGGAATACACAACTGATGATGACTGTAATAAAGCAGACTGCTCTTCATGGCTTAGCTGTCTTCTTGAACTGCTGCTAAATTTGCAGCCACAAATATGTTAGACGGGCTATAGTTCAAGATGCTAATGATCAGTTTGTAGTATGGTTCCCTTTTCTATACAATAATGCCCAATGCTTGAGAGCTTGATACAAGATAAGTTGTACAATTCTTATATAATAATGTAGGTAGTGTAGCTTTGCTTTATTAGCATTTTATGATAAAACTCTGTTACATATATGACTACGATGCATCAAGGGATAACAATATACATGAGAATAATGAACTATAAAAAGTAAAAAATGGTTAGCAACCCTATCCTTCCCGCCAGCTTGAAACTGAAATATAACCTCATGTGGCAGCTCTCCTGTGTATCTCTGTGGAACCTTAACTCAAAAGTGTTGCCTCCGTGTTGCTTTAAGCAATGTATGGTGGCAATTTCGAACTCAAATATGTAGCAAGATTATTGCTAAAATATTCAAATCGTGAGCTGACCCAAAGTAATGTGAATGTAGACGACTAAATTATGAAATTCTTTGACACGGAACAGGAAGCCGTGCTTCGCGGCATGCGGGATTCTCACTGAAGATGTCAATTCTGTGGGATCGTGGAAAATCCCCTGATTGTGGGTGCCAGATGGTTCTCAATTTCAGCAGCATTTTTCCTTTTCTGATATTTTTCCTCTTTTGTTATTTCTAATTAGGATATTTTCTATTAGGATATTATTTATATGTGTATTTTGCTTTTTTTGAGAACTATTCTCTGATTTTTTGCTCTCTGAAGTGTTGTAGGCTGTAATCTATTCCTTTGCGAGTGGTGTGTTTGTAGCTTGCCCAGGAATAGATATTGGATCCCTCTCATCTTCCGGATCTTGCTGTTTTGCCACTCGACTGCTGTTTTTAGTCCCGACAACTGCTGAATGTTCCTTCTCCCTTTCCAGTGCCACCAATATCGAATATTTTCATTTCCTTTCTTTTCCACAACCACTTCCATGCTAAATCTCTTTCCTAGACACCTTCTAGTAGCGCTGGAACAGTATCATTTCTGCTTATTCTTATATGAAGCATTGCATTGAACATTAATTTATGCTATTTTTTTTTTTCAGTATTTCAGTATTTGGTTTACTTTATTTTGACTTTATTTTGTATTTGTGTACATAGCCATGATGATGATTGGGAAGGATTGTTTTGGCCCCGAAAGATTATATTTTATTTCTTAGTGTTAGTGTAGTTAGTTTTTAGCATAATTTCTATCTTGATCTAGTTTATAATGGTGGATAACATCATATACTCATGGATGGCTGCATGGGTTTTTGATTGAGGCAGTGGTTTTGGAAATATTATTTAAATAAGGAGAAGTTTCAATATTGTTTGGCATGTGTCGGTCAACTTTTTCGATAGATATAGATTTGAAAATATGAAATATGAAAATAATTTTGGAAATTTAATTTAATATAATAAATATATAGTTTGAGTTTTAAAAGTAGTATGTTTTAATTTTTTAAAAAAAATGAGACCAAGTGGATCTCATTCGTACAATAGTTTGCATAATCGTGCCTGATACCGCGAATACTACACTTTCCCGAAAGATAAGTATAGACCTCGGTGATAGACCCAATCCTGCAAACTAAGAGATTTGTGACATCCATTTAGTCTGCGAACCTTTTATATATGACCGACAAATTCCCCTATCTAATACAAAGATTAAATAGGGTTTATTTTACCTGGGTTCCAAGTTCCCTATAGAGGCAAGCCCCTATAGTTAATTACATCCCAAATGACGGGAGTCACTTGAGAAAACTCTCGATAATGATCAATGGTTCTAGTCTTCAAGAATTCAAAGTTTAGGTTTTCAAGGTAGGACGTGGAAAAAGACAAGTGAGAGTGGCTCAAATAGGAACAGTTATTTCAGGAATCCAAATAAAAGAAAAGGTAGGGGATGTCATAGATCCTGAGGAGAATCCCCAGTGACTTCCCAAACTATCCTACTGTGTGG